GATTAAGCTCTTGCTTGCTTTGTTGTGTTACTAATGTAAAGAAATTGTAGGGAAAAAACCTTTAATACCCATATGTGTGAAATGGCTGAGAACTTATGGAAGGTTTGAACCCCAGATTTCTGTGACCACCTTCAACAATATTTAATTGGAAAGTAAAACAGTGTTTATATTGGGGGGGGGGGGGGGGGGGGGGAGAGCAGAATCACAATATACAGAATAACTTAGAATTGAAGAGAATAAACAGGAAATTGTTTGCTTATCTATTGAAATTTGTATTGAAATAACTTTTTGCCAATACTTCTCCTGGTGAGCTTTTTTTGAGAGTGTGTTCAATCTTTCGCTCTGGAAATTTGTTTCGAGGTCAGTGAATAAGGCTTACCATCTGTAGTTTTCATTTTATGGTAAGTTTATATTATTAGTTAGTCTCAGTTGTCCTTAGAAGAAATTGAATTTTTATGACAGTTATTCGTACAGATTACAGTTGGTTGGAGGGGTGGAAGAGGAATGCATTGAAGCATTGGAAGGATTTTCATTTCATTTCATGGTCAGATGGGGGGAAAAAACCCACCTATATTGTAAACGTGATCAGATTAGTATTTGAGAGCTGGGGGAAAGTCATTGTGTACAGTTCAGTCATTTTGGATAGATGCATACTATTTTCCCTATTCGATTGACATCAGTTAAGCAGGTATAATAACGATGGCACAGCAGCATGAAATACATTAAATATTGTCTTCCTTATGGTCAGTTAGGATTAATTCCTCAGCATAAAGGCAAGACTTGCTTGTTGGTTTCTTACATCTTCTCATACAAGATGCAGCATATGCATCTGTGACTTCAGAAAGAAAATGCTTTCTGGCCCATGTCTCTAGTTTAGATTTTTCCTCTCAAATTAGGCAGTTAAATAAGCAAGAGATATTAAAGCAACTTATTTGAGAATGTATTGAGAGTTGTTTTGGGGTTTTTTTTATGGTAGTTGTATGAATTAAAAAAACTGTCTTGTGTTTGGGAGGGTTGCAGGCTTTGGTATGCCCAGTGCTCTGCATGCAGGTAATGAGTTCAGTTTAAGGTAAGTAGGGTCTAGCTTTCTGTAGTAAGCTATTTTGTTTAGCAGAAGACCTTGTATATCCAATGTAGCATATTATAAATGCAGAATAGTAGTAATAATTATGTGCAAGTGCATAAACAAACATATTTTTCTGACTTGCAGTCATTCTGGAGAAGGAAAACAAAAAGGAGAGAAAAAAGATTATTAACAGTTTTGGTTTATAACTTGTTTTTATTTTCTAGTTCTGCAGTTTTAACATCTTTTGTTAACTTTCTGTGTGGTGAAGGAGGTTTTTGATGGGACCTAATCAATTAAGGCAAAAGTCTGCACACAAGCCCTAATGTTAAAAGCTTGACACTTTCTGTTCTGTTACCCAGGCCCAAATTGCAGAAAGGTAGCAAGTTCTGTCTGTCAGCTGCATAGTGCTAAACCTTGACCATATGCTTTCTATGGTAAATGAGAAGTAGCCCTTTCTCACGTGTAACTGGATAAGCCATCTTAATTAATTATCTTGCATTTGTTCATGATGCTGCAGGTTAAAAGGGTTTATGCAGGTAGGTGTTGTAGTGGAACTGATTTACAGGAATTTTTTGATGTGTCAAAGCCTTTTCTATAGCAAGTCTATTAAAGTTTTCAGTATTATTAAATGAATAATACAGAATTTGCATATGCAGAAATAAATGTCAGGTTTCTCAGTATATTGTTAAATATGAGAATGTTATCTGTCAGCATCTGTGGAACTGCTCAGAAAGACTGAATGCTGTTATGTTTGTTTTGCAATGCTTATCTTTCTGAATAAAACTAGTATTCATATATTTTTCATGCTGGAAATCTAAAGCTGTGCTCTCGATTGGGCGTTCTGTTTGTGGAGGTGGAAGATTTTTATGAGGAAATGACTGGATCTTGTGACAGTTAGAATGCTCTGTAATAATCTATGTTTTAAAGAATCAGTTAAGAACCTGTTAACCTATCATTATGCATTATGTAAAAATAGCCACTTTGACATAATTAATTTTTAGTATGACAATGTAAAGCATTTCTTTGGCAAATATTGGAAACCTGTCCAGCTATGTTAACTTTGAAGTCTACTTTTTAATTCACTGACTCTAATAGTAGCCATTTCTGACATTCCTCTATAAGCACATATGTGTTTATAAATTCTGTATTGCCAGCACTGGGACATTTATGTTGCAAGACTCAGTGGAAAAAAGAACAAACTTATAAACTAGCTCAAAAAGAGTGCAAAGACACGTAAATTGGAATTTAGAATAAGAGTCCACAAGTTTAGTTACATGATTCTTAAATTTTGGACATTGGTTTGCATTTCTCAAGACTATAAGAGCCTAAGTCTTTGCCAGTGAGTTAACTTAGATGCCAGATTTTATCACATGCCCCAGGACATTGGTATCTTTGAAAAGTGAAGTCTTTTGCACCCATGTCTTGCTTCAGCCTATTTGGGGTTCATAAATGAGACCTCCATGTGCTGTAGCCATTGTGGGGACCTGTTCCGGGTGGAAATCAAGATGGAGCAGGATTTCTGTCTTGTGATTATTACATAATATTAAGATTTTGAAATATATTATTCTACATACTTTTCCTGTAAATGGGACTACTCATAATATGTTACAGAATCACAGAATCATCAAGGTTGGAAAAGACCTTGAAGATCATCCAGTCCAACCATTAACCTGACACTGACAATTCCCAACTACACCATATCCCTCAGCACTTTGTCAACCCAACTCTTGAACATCTCCAGGGATGGGGACTCCACCACCTCCCTGGGCAGCCCATTCCAACACCTAACAACCTGTTCTGTAAAGAAATGCTTCCTAATATCCAGTCGAAACTGTCCCTGGTACAATTTGCGGCCATTCCTTCTTGTCTTATTGCTTGTTATTTGGTTAAAGAGACTCATCCCCAGCTCTCTGCACCCTCCTTTCAGGTAGCTGTAGAGGGCGATGAGGTCTCCCCTCAGCCTCCTCTTCTCCAGACTAAACACCCCCAGTTCCCTCAGCTGCTCCTCATACGACCTGTGCTCCAGACCCTGCACCAGCTTCGTTGCCCTTCTTTGGACACGCTTGAGTAATTCAATGTCCTTTTTGTAGTGGACTAAACATGACTTACAGAATTGTCATGCATTGATAATTTTCTGAGAATCTTAACACTTTTCACTGTATAAAAGCAGTTTGAAACAAATTACTGCTTGCCTGAATATTTAACAAGTGAAATATCAATAATCAGTGAACAAGCTATTGTGTAATCTTTCCATGTAGTGCTTATATTTAAAGTTAATTTCAAATATCTGTATGATAATTTCTGTGTATACAGATCTTTGTGAAATTTTCTGTTTTCCCTGTCAAGACATGCTTTTAAGAGTATTTCTTAAAATATCTAGTAACATTTAATTTTTCTATGAAAAGAGGGGAGGAGCTGGAAATTTCAATATGACTTTGTGCAACTTCAAGTATCTTTTATTATTTATATTTTTACTTGTGCTGTGGTATAACAGAGTTGGAGTCTATTCTTCCTTTTAGATGAGAAAATTGTTTACTTATTCTTCCACAAACTGCTTAGAAGTAATAAGATGGAATAATTAATTTAGTGAAGTTAAAACTCTGGACTTGAACAATGATGGTAATTTGTGAGGGAAGAGTTTAAAGAGGCTTTCATATCCCAGGTTTGTAAGGAAATAGAGCTAAAAAGTTGTATTTTTACCTGGCTGACCTATTTTTAAGAAATTTTGGGCACAATGTCAATGTTTGATATTTTGAAAACATGTAAAACAGAAATTAGGTGCAAGTGGATTACAGTAACGTCAATGGCTGTGTTCTTTAAATTTGTGAACTTTTATTGTAGTGTAGGATATGGTTGTTTTGTTCTTTAAAAATAAATGTTGAGGTCTATTGATGCCGTTTGGGTAATTACTGTTTTCTGGAAACCTAAGATTTAAGTTCGGTTGTCCAACGTAGATGCTTTATATGTCTGATTGAGAAGCCTAATGTTGAGACGTGGGAATATCTCTTCTAGTTTAATAAGATTATGAGTTCTAAAAATATATTTACCATAACTTTTCTTAACTTTCTAGTTGGATTTTTGGTAATGCACATGACTTAAGATAGTTGTGTTTATGGGATTTAGGTTTTACGCCACAGCAGCATTGATAATCCAATCTCTTTTTATGGTATTAGAAACATGAAGCTAACTATTATCTGTATTTTGGGGAATGCTTTTGACTTCCTGTGTCTTGTGGAACTAGGTATAAAGCACAATCAAGATGCTAAATGAAATTGAGCTACAGTGTGGAAAGAGGGCAGCACCTGACTTTGGACAATAGGGTTTTTTTTAATAAAAGCTTTGCAGTCTTAGTCTAAAGTAAAGCAGTATTTTAACTGAACTGAAATGGCGACTGCCTTTTAGAAAATGAGCAATACCTTTGCCAAAATATATTTTCCAAGAAACATAAATTGTAATTCATTATAAGAAAATACTCTCATTAATATAATCTACAGTACATACATACTTGAAGATCTTTTTCATTAATATGTTTATTAAATATTTATAGAATTGTATAGAAAAATGAGTTAGTGGGTTTGAGAGAACTGACACAGTACCTAGCAGAGATATCAATTGGGATGTTGGTCATAATTATGTGGCATGATGCTGTCTGGAGAGAGCTGAACTAGCTTTAAGAAGTTAAGCATCTCAAGTAGCGTGCATCTGATAATATATTTTCCTTGGATTAATTAGTCTTCCATCAGTACTTGTGGTGGTCTCACTACTGAAGATGCTTTATTCTTAACAAGTTAGCATTTGGTATCTCTCCATAGCATTGCAGTGTGCTATGTAAAAATAACTTTTTACATAGCATGGCAGATCGGAAAATTTTATGTCATGTTTGTTGAACATCACAGATACATTCATAACCTGTTTCCATTTTGCAACAAATCAGGTGAGGAGCCAGGAGGGGTAGCCAAGAAAAAAACTAAAGTCAAAGGTATTTTCAATGTTCTTTTTTCTTGTGGAACTTTATGCAGATAGTGATGTCTGAAATGCATGCGCATTGCAAGTACAGATTGCAGGTTATAATAATGTTTACTAATACTAGCTGTTTTCGCTGTGTTGTCTAATGGTGCAGCAAACTATTATCCTCCCCATTTTTCAGTAAGATTATTTTTTGCTACAGATCGTAATTTAATGGTAATGTGAGTGCTTCCTAACTAGAGATTATATTTTGTTTTGCAAATTTTTACAACAGCTGTCTTGTTTGGATTGTAAGTAGTTTATGATAACTTCATATTCTGCATGTTCAAAAAAATGTTCTGGTCTATATGCAGATTTTGCTCTGTGTGAAATTCTCCTTTAGTTATCTTTCATGTCTTTCATAAATTTGTGATACGATTACTATATTGGACTTGAGCATCTTAATTTCTGCTGAAGTCTGTACTTCCAATACTTTTATCTATTTCTTACACAATGAGAAATTTAGGTAAAGTTAATAACTTCAATATTTGCAGGACTGATTGCAGTGATGATACTTTAAAATTTTCAAAAAGCTTATACTAGGATAGCTTGTAACTGATTTATGTGATATATTTATTTATAATTGCGTTACTGTATAAAGAGGACATAATGGTCTGAATGTGTTGAGTGGAACAGAGTGACTAAAAAAGCTAATTAGCCTCAGCAAAACACTGAAGTATGAGATGTACTTCAGGTGCTTAACTTTTTAGATGTTCTTAGTTACCTGCACACAACATGGTGCTACGTAAAGAAGTCTCTTTGTTGCTTTAAGGACACGTAGACGTTAATGTGTTTTTTTCTAGCAGTATGTGAAAAATGCATGCTGTTTTGAATACAAACTCGTATTAGGAAAAAAGTGCATTTGCTGAAGGAAGCTCTCATGCTTATAGGAATATGACTTAGCATCTTGCATGCAAGTTGAAATTTTTAGAATTTGTTCCACATTGTGCTTAGTATGACTTGGTTGCAAATTGTGTGTTTCCAATAATGTAATAAATGGCATTTAACAATTCATTCCTGAGCTTTGGATTATTTTTCTATGTTTGATATGAGAATGAAGAAATGGTATGATATATTTCAAGTGCTCTATGTCAAAAAACAGTTGGAAGGAAATGTGATATTACCCCTTTTAGACAAAGTTGTGTGATTGAATTGTTCACAGAAATGTTACACAGCAGTTAGAGGCAGATGTTACAGGAGAAATGTGTTGCTTGCCTGCTTTTTACGTTAACAGACTGCAGTTTCTCTCAAAAGTTTAAATAAAAATAGAGCTGTTGTATTTTAGATATAAAATATTTATTTTTTAATAATGTGGGAGTATTAATTTTAGAATTAAATACAAATATTGCATAGAGATTTAATGGAAAAATTTCTAGATTTTATTGAGCTAAAAATTCCTTATTCTGGAGAATACTGCTGGTAATGACAATTTTTTTCAAAGCTGTGAGCAAAGTGGAAGTAAAGTTTGAACATTTAAATTTCAAGGATGCTGTTCTGACTCTTCTTATGTGTTATCTAGATACCATGTCACAGCCAAATGTGAATTGAAATAGAGAAAATAAGTGCAAGAGAGACAATTCAAAAAGTAAAACAAACAGTATAGTATTACTAATAATGATGATACAGATGGAAAAGCAAAGGTTTAGGAATTACTTTACAATTGTTTTCATGAATATGGTCAAACCAAGTTAACTTCTTTGGAGTTGTTTTAATTGACTAAGTGATCCCTATTCTTAATAATTGTGTACTTATTTCTTACTTTTGTAAAATATATACTTCAGATATATTTTTTTAAGTCTTGGTTTAATCTGAGGTAATATCAGTAACATGTAATATACATTAGTATTGTTATAACACCTTCATTTGTAGTTGTGGAAAGTTGAGAAAATTGTGAAAAAAGTTTCTTTTGGAGATATTCTTGACATATCTAGATCCTACAGTTGTCATACCATTGTCAAAGATTCAAAATTCACTGTAATTTTCATGCTCACAGACAAAAATGGTTTTAGCGTTCTGCAGAAGTTATTTAACAGTAAGATAACAGAGGCATGGTTTTCACTAGATTAATGCTTTATTCTGATGCAGTTCAGTAAGCTAAGGTTATTGGCTGGCTGCATGGTGTGAGATATTGCTAAAATTTGAAACTAATTTGTTTAAATTGCTTAAAGCTTATATAGTTAATTATACAAGTTTAAATTGGCATCTAACAAATATTAAGTAAGAATTCGAACAAAGCTTTTTAGATAGTTGTTCATAAGATGTTTTCTGATACAAGAATGGTTCTCTTATTGAACATTTCCTCTTTTTTAAATGAAAAACTAAAAAGTAAAAGAAGCTATTAAAGAACCGCTCAAGAAATTAAGGGAGAAGCAGGAATCCAAGAAGGAGGAAATCAAAGATGAGGAAGAAAAAAAGAAAGCCAGGAAAGGAAAAGATGCTACTGATCGAAAGGACAAGAAAGCTCTTGATACGAATAAATTAAAGAAAGATTCTGACAAGGCTAAAAGAGACAGAGGAAAGGAAAAAGAAAAAGGCCTAGATAAAAATGTAAAATCCAAGGAGACTACAAAAAAATCAGCCAGTGAAAAGGATGGTACTATTCAGGTGGGAAAAGACAAAGAAACAAAAAAGATAGTTAAAAACCTATCCAAGGAAGACAAGAAAGAAAAGAAATAGAGTTCTGGTTCTGCTAATGAGGAACAGACCTCAAGAATGAGAAATTCAGCATATTTATATGAATGTGGTAAATACAGAATAAGAAGATACAGTTTTCTGGAAATAGGTGTGAACAAAGGCTATATATAATAATTTTTTGAAAACTGTTAAGCGTGTGCTGGCATTGTAAACACAAAGCAAAAACGTCTGCTGTGAAACTGAAATATGTAAATAATGTTAATATGTCTGGTTAACAATGTGTATTGAAAATGGAAATGTCAAACTGATGCCAGTTACTTCAAGCATACTCTCATTCTGTGAGGTTTTTTTTTCCTTTTCTTGTTTCCTTGTATTAAAATGCTATTTTATTGATGTGGGGCTAAAAGTGTAATGTTGTGTATCAAATGCAAGTTTAAAAGCAATATTTAGAGGATTATCTGGACATATATAGTGGAAACTCACAGGAAGGTATTTCTGTTTCATTAAAACAACCAAGAGGAGCATTGATAGAATGTATTGACATAGGAATTTTGCAAATAAATGTAAATTATTCCCTGCTAAACTTTTTTCCCCTAAGTGGAGTAAGAAAACTACTTCATACATGAACACTCAAACCAGCTTGCTTATGAGACTTCAGAAATAACCAACCAAAACATTGCAACACTTATGTTTATTGACCCTGTGACAATACATTCTGCTTTCTTCTTTATTTATTTTTTAGTTATCTTTAGGTCTGAAAATTTGTTTCATTGTCACTTCACAGTTAACCGTGTCCTGAGTTTTCTGAGTTTTCCAAGCTTGTGGTAATGAATTAGGCTACCACTGATTGGTATTGTTTGATTCCAATCACATTTTAAGAAGTGAAAAGCTACTACTACTACTGTATTTTGGTTGAACTTGATTAGAGAACAGCTTATGTATTTTTGTGACTATTATTTTCTTCAAACACTTTTCAAGTACATGATACTTCTGTAAGCAAGCTCTTCTGTTAGTTTGCTCTTATAGCTTCTGCATTTTTAGCACAAAGGAGCGATTTATCCAGCCCTCTTGTTTTGTAACTTTGTTTATTTTACATTTCTCTAGATATATTTCAGTTTGTTTTTGAATCTATATTTGCTTTCAAGTTTATATGGGAAATGAACATTTTCTAATTTTACTAGACAAATAATACTGCTTAGTATATTTAATTGCACAGTAAAATTACACAAGATTCAGAACAAAATTTAAAGTGACAGTTGAAGGTTTTATTATTGTTATACTGCAGTATTATTTTAAAGAAAACAAAATTAAGGAGCAAAATTGAGCATGAGCAGCATATGCATATGGGTGATGGTGTAAGTTTAAAGTCCTGAAAGTTATGTTCATGGTTTTGCTTAAACTTTGTGTATAACAGTTGGCAATACACTTACTTCAGACTTTTGATACAGCACATACTTGTCTGTAAGATGCTTTGATCCCTAGAGGTATAAGATGTGGTAAGAGGGTAAGATATAATCTGATTTTTCTTTTTTTTTAAGGGAAAATTATGAAAAATACTTCAAATGAAAGCAATAGAAAATAGTACAGTGGCTTAAGATTCTAGCCGTGATAATTAACAGAGATGATATACTGAGCTATTTTCTAAATATTTATATATGTGTGAAGAAGGGAAAAGTGTATGTTGTGAACATTATAGTGCTCAGCAAAAAAACTTGACAGAATGAAGATCTAATAAATGCACTTGCATAATGAACATTTTCTCTTAGGTTTCAGTGATGGTAGACATGTTTACTCATCTTTGCTCCGATAAGTGTTAAGATACATATTTGACAGAGGAGCACTCAAATCACATGAATGGTGGCACAATGGTATACTGCACATCACTTTTTATTTTCTTCCCTAATCGGACAGAAGTTGTAACTCTGGGAGTGAAATTTCACATGAGTTGCCTTTCTGATTAATATATTATTGTATCTATAGCTCTGGTTCTGCACAATCTGGATCTAAAAAAGTTTGTTTGGTTATTTTTGTTTTTTTGAAAGACATTTTATTTGAGCAGCACTTCAAGCTATACAGATAGCCACACAATAAAATGAGATTTTTGCCTCAATGATCTGTTGTGCTGTTGTACATCTCTATGAAAAATTATTGTCATTAAACTTAACATGGTGAGTTACCTCATAAGCTCAAAAAATGCACCACACAAGTGAAAACTGAGTGCAACTTTATTTTAATAAAAAGATGAGAGAAAATAGTATCTTGCAAAAAGTAAATGACTTAACATATTATATACTCAAGAGGACTGAATAGGAATCAGTGGTAAACGTGTAATAGAAGTGTATAAAAAGCTTGAAAGCAAAGTTAGTTGAGAAATGTGCCAGCAAAACAAAGAAATATTCTTGCTAGTCCCTTTTTTCCTTTTACACACTGTAAGCTTGTTGGCTGTGAAATATTGATTATCTTCTGAAATACTTAAAATCCGTTTATTATTAATGAAACAAAGCAAGTGGTTGTCTGGAATTGGAGATGTGTTATTGTCTCATGTTATTGGAGAACATGAACACACTTATTTAAAGAGGTCTCTATGTAAGGGTAGTGAATTGTATTTGTGAAAGCAGGGTTGCTGTTACTACGTTTCCAAATTCTGAAGTGTGAGACAGTAGCTAATATAAGTAACTAGTTTTGTCTCCATATGTAGTTAAAGATAATTGTAAGACAAAGTAAATTCTTACTCTTGTAGCCATTAATATTACTGCAGCAAAAGAAGAATGTAAGTCTTAATAATATTTTGTAATAATTCAGGGTTATTTTAATGACAAAGAAGAAAATTGTTAAAAAATTTTAAGTGTAAATTCAGCTTTTTTCTTCTAGCTTCTGGTCTTGACTCCATAGTAGCGGACTTTTAGTTACAGTACTTTTAGATAGAGCTTAACTACTTATCTTTATGTAATTTAAATAACATAAAAAGGTGTAAGTAGAATTCATTCTGTTATTCCTGTTCCCATTACTTATGTAGAGTAATGGAATAAATGTTTTTCTCATGAGTCAAAAATCTTTCTAGTGTACACAAAGTTGTCAAGAGGCATACTAGTCCTAATTGTATTGAGATATGTTTGACTGCAGTAGAAATCTAGTAATTATTAAAATACAAAACAACTTTACTGGCTTGAAATAGAATACTTATATTGATTCGCTTAAAGTTACTGGAGATTGTTATCATTGCAGGAGTGTTCATTGTAGTGTATCATCTGCTTTCTTAAATTCTGTTTTTCTGTTGATTTCTGTGCATATAGCTCTAGAGAAACTAGTTTGTTTGGGGCAGTGTGTGTGTGTTTAAGAAGATAGTTTTATCTTAATTGACCTTGGAACTTATACCTAAATATAAACCTAGGAAAAATTATGTAGGACTATAGGAGAATTACATTTGGTAGGGACTTCAGGAGATCCTTATTCTAACATCCTTCTCAAAACAAGGTCATCTCTGAGGTATACCAGGTTATGCTGGCCTTTACCCAGCGTGGTCTTTAAAACCTCCAAAGATGGGAATGCACAACCTTTCTGTGCAGCCTTTTCCACAGATTTGACTGTCGTGAAAGGGTGTGTGTGGGTGCGTGTGTGTATGTGTAATTTTTTCTTATATCCAGTCTGAACTTGTCTTGTTTAAGTCTTGCTTGAATCCTTCATAAGGGATAGTTGAGAGGAGGATTAGACTGATACCAGTACATTCTTTCTTAAGGATGTGGTGTCTTAAGATGTGGCATAATCTTCCAAGGCTATGAATTATCTTTATCTGCTACCATGGTGTTGATCGTTCCAGTTATTGGTTGCTTTCTTTTAATTGTGTTTTGATCTAAAAAACCTCTGTGGTATAGATAATAAGCATCTGACTTTTGAAATTCCACCAGTCATACTTTTTCCGTGGTGATTTAGTTGTCAAAAGAAACTGGAGATTGAGATCACTTATTCTGAAGAACCTACAGTTCTCTTCAACAGATCTAAGAGTTAACATACAAATTTAAAATACCTGTTATTCTGAGCATCATTTTGTAAAGTTCAAATTAGTTCTCCATAAAACCTAAAAATGCTGATCACATGAAGCACTTTTTGCCCAAAGAGAAAAATGGTAAGGAAAAACCTTCTGCCTGTTTTTCTCCTGGATACTGAACAGATGTTGAGAATAGCATAGTCATTTGTTCAGTCTCTTTGAAATAAAGGCAAGTGCTTAAATTTCTGTCCCTTTTTTCCCCTTGTGTGTTTGTCTTCAAAACATTTGTTTATTATCTGAATACACTTTAGTCTTCATATATATCACTGTATATCAGGACCACCCTGTAATTGTAATTAATTGTTTGAATGCATTTTGGAGAGTTTAACATTAAATTAATTTAATGGATGCAACTTTCTTAGTTTATAATTGAATCAGATCAAAAGGAGTATAAAGTTAACTTTATAACTGAAAAATGCAGGCCTTAAAGAAAGATCTGTCCCAGCACAGCCAGCATCACCAGAATTTGAGGAGACCATCCAGCCTGCTGAGAAGTCATATGTTGAATCAGGTAAGGCCTTTCGTAAACCATAGGTGAAACAATGCTTCATTTGAATTGTAATTCTGTTCCTCAATATGTAAACTCATTGTGTTATTTATTTCTGGAGAAAAAGGAGTCTTTAATCACTTTTATGTGTTGCTTGTCCACTGATTTAATGGGAATCACTCTTCATAAATTTATATAATCACTGATCATGAAAAGTTTATAATTTAAATGTCTAGAAGGCACTCTTGTCAGCTTTCATGATTACCACTGGAACCACATCTCATCAGAATAACTTTCTGCTGATGTACAGTTGTGGTTTTGGTACACATGCAACAGTGTACCCAATCAGAATAGCAGCAAATTTTCCACCTTAAACAAAACCAACAAAAAACAAAACCAGAAGAAAAAAAAACCAGCAACCAACTTAATAAGGTTTATCAAATATTCACTTTTCTACTAAAACCAATACCATACAGTAAGTACAGTTTCTGGTGTTGAAAAAAATAATTTAAACATTTTAAAAGCCACATAAGTATTAGTAAAATTTAATAGGTTCAAGAGGGATTCAAGAAAATATATTTTTGCATGTCAGACTTCAGATACTTGATGTGCATTATAGTGTTATTCAGGATGCTTTTTCCTGTACCTTGAAGAGGCTTATCTTACTTGACGTTTGTGTGAACCTAACACAATAAGCCACAAATGTGGGGCATATCATCATTAAAATAGAATATATAATTTGTTTTAAAAGACTTGCATTACTTTTCTTAAGTTATAATTTATGAAATATGTTGTTAAGTTGTTATTTCCTTTTTTTTTCCCCCCATAACTGATACCATTTTGGATATATATTTGAAAAATGCAGCTATGATTTGGCTTTGTGCTGTTGAGTTTCTGAGGACATTTATACGAAGGCAACACTTCATAGAAATCTCCGTTATGTCCTGGTCTGGTGTGTTAGATGACAATCACTTGTCCCAGAATTCAGTTTGATTTATTCTGGTATGAATTGCCTGGGGCAGACCTTGATATTGTAATATTAGTATGTATTTTCCCTGTTTATAAAGTCAACAAAACACCTCTTCTGCAAGTGACATTTTCTTGTCAAATATGACGTGCTAGTTCTGCTGCCTAAATTGTAGGAAAGTAATGGATGAGAGTGTTAGTAAAATAATTATAGAAGAGAATTCTTGGGTTAAATAGTTAAGTTATTAATATTAATGTCACTGAGAAAAAAATATGCGCAGAAGATCCAGTGTAGATAAATTCTTCCGGTTCATCTTCAGAATGGATCTGATGTGACTGATGCAATACTTTCCATATTGAAGAGTAAGCAAAATGAAATTGTTTCTCTTAATTGCACGAGTTGCAGAGGTGCACCAAGTCAAACTCTATGGAACTTTATGGAATGGACTAAGAACTTTATGGAGGCTACTAAAAGCTGCAAGCCTTGAGCTGATGTTTAGACTTTGCCATTTGCACTTTCCTTCACTGCAATTTATAATCCTTTTAGAGCACAAGAATGCTGACGTAGAATTGGAAGAAGAATCTCATTCTGTTCTTCATGAAGCTCTCCATTCCCAGCCTGGTAATACATTAACTCTTAGAAATCACTGAAGAGTAGTAATAATACTGCCATAGGCTAGATGAATCTCGGAGTCTGGTTTTGGTATGCACTTAAAGCACTTCTGCTTGCGCACAGCATTCTACTCAGCTAATTTGTCATTTTTAAGAAAATTCAGAAAGTTCAGTCACCAAATCTTAAAACTGTTGTCTCTTACCCAGGGATGTTTGGCAGCAGTAGCTTAAATCAGCCAGTTGATAAAAACTTTCTCAAAATACTGTGCAAGAATGGGTAAACAGAGAGGGCTTTTACAGTGGTTCTTTCCATGAGCAAAGAAGGCACTGGCAAGTCAGTGCAGATACTTTGGGGTTATACTGCTGTAAGGTACAGACAAGTCATCTGGTCACCCTCCTTATCCCCATCAGGGACTAGTTGAAAAACACAAAGGGTGTGCTGAAGACTGAATATTTGCTGATAATAGAATTTACCAAAGAGTATGTGTTCTCTAACAATCTGTATTACTGATCAGGAGAGAGATACGAAGATGTAGATGAAAATATAAATGACCAGTGGCAAGTGAAGGAAGAAGTACCTGGAGAAACTGTTGAAGCGCCTACAACAGATGATTTGCTTAGAGAATTAGAGAATGAAATGCCAGAAGCGTATGAGACACCAGACTCAGTTCAGAAAGGTATCTGAATGACTAAGTATATTTAAAATTAAATTTTGCCAAAAATAAGGATAGATGAAAGGAAATACGTCTCATTACAAACCTGATTCTTAATTTCTACATGCAATACTTAGCAGATGTCATCACAGCAAGTATTATTTAGCAGATAAATATTTTTAAAATCAAAATGGAATATTTTAGTGCCATGTGTTTTGGAATCCAGGTAATTATATATTATTGTTTACTTACTATATATCGGCTTGCAACCAAGCAGATTAATCTGTGCTCCAGCTGTCCATATTTCCCCTCAGTAGAGAGACTTCTATAATATCTGTATGGAGTCTGCTTCTCAACTTTCTAGTTTATTAAACTAAATTTTAAGAGTTTATTAGCACAGACTTTTGTAAACAGACTTATTCTCGCTCTGCTTTCCTCTAATGTGGATCTCTTAGAGAATGTTATATATGAACTATAATGCAAGTCCTGCTGAGAACATAATTTCATTTAAAAAAAGTGCTCATAATACTCTGTTATAGGGTGTGTGGTATCATGTACTGAGTTAAAAATTTTAAAGTCTGTAAATACGTGTTTGTTTCTCAGATGCTGATCTTTTGGCAGATGATCTTGAAGGGATAGAGCCTGAACCATATGAAGCACTAGGTATAATTTTGTTTTTCCAAACTTGGTAATATTGGTTTTCTGCCTACATGTAGCAAATTATATGAGAAAGCAAAATAGAAAAGGCTAGACTGGTTTAATAATATGTAATTTTGAAAATTTTTTTTTCAAATAACTGTTTTTTATTGTCTTGGATATTTTTACTCTGACTGAGATGACATTTGCCATTGCAAATGGTTCTTAAAAAGAATGGATGATAGGTGTGGAAACTTTGCTTTCATTTGTGCAACAACTTCATTTTTAATTTTTTATGTGTTTCTGGCTGTTATGTATGATTGGGAACTGGATAAGCAAGAGGTCTGTGTTTATACAGTCTTAAGAAAGAGAGAATGAGATAGATTGCTTGTATTACTATCTTCTTATAGTCTACAATGCTAAGGTCCTTCTAGCCTGTTATTTTCGTCATTAGTCAGAAACCTGTATTCTCACATGGAACCTGTCACCTTTCAGAAACATCCAGTTTGTAACCTTCCCTTCAGGACTGTTTGCTTCTTTATGACAGATTATACTACTGGAGACTGAGTCAGCACAAAGGACTTCATTCTGAGCTACCCTTGACACTGTCTTTCTGCACACCCTAATTCATCTTTCAAACTTCATGAAATTTGGCCTGGACTAATCCAATTACCTTATAGATATCTTCATATTGTTTGATACTTCATACAATGGCATTAGCTCATTCCCATTATGAAGAAACATTAGGTGGATATTACAGTTTCCCTGCTATCTGATAAGTATTTTCTTCTAGATGCTAATAATGCTTGTTTATAGTACAGGCAACCTCTTCCATTTACATTAGACACCTTTTTTTTTTTTCCTTTTTTTTTTTTTTTCTGGACTAGGCTTCTTACCTTTGGCTCAATGTTAGTTCTGGACTTCATAGTTTCATTTGATGCCAAATATGAAAGAAAAATAATTTTATTTGCTTGATACAGCTAAAACTGCTTATTCCTATCTTCTTGGGTGATTACTACTTTCCACTTACTGATTTAGAATCCAAGCTGTAATGCTTCCAAAGTAAAACGATAGTTAATTTACCTTCAATACCATGTGTTGTCAGGTGTATCACTGAGTATATTAATAACATCACAAAAAATTGTAGTCACAGAGGAAAATAATCCATGTATTTGGCTATGAAATGAAGTAAATTGCTCTAAATCTGTGATGCTAGAAGTAAATGTACAAATTTCTTGAGGTGTGATTTCTGGCTCTTGTCTTCTGTCTTGTCTATCTATTATCTTGTCTTCTGTAGATCACCATCAGTGGTCCTCCTGCACGTTAGTAAAGCAGCTACTTTAGAACTTTGAGGATAGGGGAATATTATATTTTTTTTAAATTAGTATTAGAAGACCTGTTAAAAATTATTCATGGAGACTAATGGCTCTCATGGATATAGTTCTCATATTGAGGGTATAACAGAGGACTAACAGGTGACCCACCACTAAGAGATGGCCCAACACCTTCCATTGGGTTGCTATGCATCAGGTTGCACATGTCTGTGAGGCTTTAATTTGTCTGTTTTCAAGTAGGGCGCTACACTTAACAACTGACAAGACACACCATGGATGCAAGTTAAAAAGAATTGAGTATTAAAAGCACTTCATATTTTTAATTTCAAACTTTATTTTTCATATTTAATTTACAGTTTCAGATGAATATGTTATGACTGTGGAAGAGACAGTAAGTGATCCAGAAGCACCAGGTTTGTATATTTAATGAGTTCAGATTATAATATAATCACTTACACTTTTTAAAGGTGCTTCAACATAATGCGTCATGTTGACTAAGTCACAGTTTTATTTTCAAACCAATTTTTGTGTAGTTTCAAATAAGCATAATTTTTGCAGCTGTGTTACCATTGCAGTTGTGAACACAATACTCCACAAATCCAGTCCAGAAATACTTACTTAAATATCTTGTTCTGTCCAGAGTGTCTCAGTCTAATCAGTGGATTGTCAAAGACCTACTTGTATTCTAATTTTAAGCCCAGATACAAATATGCATGAATTTATCT